AAAATTAAATATTTGTATCAATATTAAATATAAAATTAAATATTTCTATCAATATTAAATATAAATATATGAAATTAAAAATTCCCATAATACAGCTTACCCACGTTTAGTCCAGAAGGTGATCAGTTTAAAACAGACCAAACTGTACGGCAGCGAAGTGCTCACGCATTCCACCAAGTCTGTCAAATCATCGAGATTGAAATGATTCATCATATACCAATATTGAAGAACCTGTGCAGTACACATTGCCAGTATCCAAACGAATCGAAACACGTTCTCATACGACGACGGCCATATACCAGTCACTCGCAAACCGATCTCAACCGGTCGACTAACGCTGATCATGGATCTTGCGAACAACATTTGGTTCGGTGTTGTCTCGCGAAATCGACGTTTCAACGGAAAACTTTCATCTGATCCGCATAATACCGTAAAATTGTATCGTGAACCGATCGTACACCAACGACCATGTTCGACGCACTAAGATCGTCTCAGAGACCGGCGCGATGCTACTTCTTGCGCATCGACTACGTTTCCATAAAATATTCAACACGAAAACCAAAGTTACAATGTAGAATACATAAGCATACGGGATATGATCACAAGAAAAGCAAAAGTTTAGTTGTGTGTTTTTTTTGTTCTGAATTCAAATGGCATTTACGAACTGTGTACTTTCTCTGACGATTCACTGTGATACGTCAGAATCTGGGAACTGAACCACTACACCAGGAACAGTTGTAGGATACAATTGAGGGGATCGTAACAAAAACTGATCCTTGTGAAATTTTGTCTTTTTTTCTAGGTGAGTACAAACATACTCTGGCATCTTTAAGAATCTTCAGAATCATTTCACTTTCAGAATAAATCAGGACATAGAGTCACTTGTGAAAGTTTTCGTACACATGAAAAGGTAATTTTGATTAATATAAACATTAACTTTTTGTAATTTGTAACACGTTTGTTTATTAACATATGAGGTAATATTAACTATTTTACAAGGAAATATATTCAGAAATGAGATTCCAATCCACCCCTAAATAAAACGAAACGAGTCAAATTTATTTTTTTATTTTGTTGCTCGCATCGACAATGTCTTCGTATTACTATACAAATAATGGAGACCATTCCGACCGCATTTTAATGGGATATTGCGTTTCTGAAGCTCTTCCATTAATTGGATTCATTCTCTGGAGTCCGCACTGTTTCTCCATTTCATAACATTGCGATTAAAACGGAGACATACGAAGCAGAAGCTTTCAACATCTAAACATACAAATCTGTCGTAAGTGTGTAGAAAATATTTACACAACAAAATATCTCGCTGAAACTATCGATTATTAAATAAATAAAAGGAAATTGGATTTATTATACAGATTAAGCCATATACATATAGCGTTACCAATGATTAATTTCTAGAAATATTGAAAATGAAGACAAACAAATTATCAGACTTTCTAAAATTTGCACATTGTATGAAAAATTTAGGGAGACCCTTCACCTTCACTTCTGAGAACAATCAGGGATATATTGTATATTCTATTTTACATAAATAATTCCATAGTACGTTACGAAAATATTAATGTAATCTCTAATAGTTTCTGAAATAACCATTTGTAATAGTTTACATCCGTGGTCAGATGGTAAAACGTGGTAGCTACGGTTTTCCTAATTTTACAGTACAGGAATTCTAAAGTTTCTAACAACTGTTAAAAACTTCAGTGTTTTCACAAATACCTACAATTTTTTTTACATCGCTTTTTTTTAAACTGCCAACTGCTAGATTTCATTTAGACACACATGAAAGATCACGAGTCTCAATTTTGACGAAAATTGAACAAATCAAATTTTGCCATCCGCCGACAGATACAACGTTATCATTATTAAACTACAAATTTTTATGCAAATATAAATGTTTATGGGTTAATTTGCAGGAACTGGAGCCAGACAAGTATTTTTAGACGTCATTTACTATTTTATCAGATTCTAAAGAGAATTAGAAACTTCTTTAAACTTTCTCAATCTCTTAAGTGTCATGAATTCTACAGGGTGTTAATGAAAATGTGGGACACTTTCACATGGTGAATTCTACGCGTCAAATTAAGATGAAAATCATGAATGACGAAATTACGTTCGAGGCTTTGTTTCTGAGTTATATTAATTGTTGAAAAATACGGGCGAAATACGTCTGGCACGACGGATTATTCTACTTGAGAGGCGCGCTCTTCACC